TAATAATACTAACAGTAATAATAATAACTGTAATAAGCTACAACAAAGGGTAATAAAACTAGAGGAGATCTTTCCTGGTGACACAAAGATGGGAGTGCTAAAGGTAAAGAAGAGAATAATAAAAGTGAGGAGGAGGAGGAGGAGGAGGAGGAGGAGTCTGTTTGTTGACATCGGATGGAAGCGACCATCAGAGTGAAGACAGCGGATAAAAGCTCTTTTTCTCTCGGTCTTCCAGACTCTCCGCCCCGGGGAAAGCCGAGGTAGACCCCGGCAGCTGAGCCGAGCTCTCACACACACCGGTGACCGCTGGTTGTAGCTGTTAGCACAGCTCGGAGCTAGCGCTAGCCCCACCAGCTAACACAGCTAACAGCATAGCAGGGAAAGTCATCGTTAGCCTGCAGCTAATTGAACCGTGCTGACACCGCAGCTGCACACGGAGCTGTAAATAGAAGAACACGCGCGGTGTTGAGCGCAGCTTCGTGTTTCCTGTCCGCGTGTCATCCACTGTGCACGGCTCCAGTGTTGTTAGCTAGCTGCGCCGCTAACTCAGTAACAGTGCCCCCGGGACACAGCGCTGTGTGCGGCTAGCTAACAAACTCGCAGTGGCGACCACAGCGAAGCTGCGCAATCAGCCCCATCAGCCGGAGACACTGGAGGTGCGAGCACTGCGGGCTCAGTGTGTTGTTATTGTGTTATTAACGTCAGAGCAACTTCTGTCAAGTTGCTAACAGGGGGCATGACAGCTAACGTAGCTAAGTGTACAAAGGTCTGGTGGCTGAAACTAAACATGGACTTGTGATGACACTCACAGCAACACGATCGTCATTTAATTCAGTGTAACGCAGCTGTTCACTATGAATGATAGAAACAACTGTGACGTCAGCTCATGTGTTTGATGCTCTTGATTTTTGTGTCCTTCCTCATTTCAATCTGTTTACCTTTTCTTTGTCACGTGACCAAAAGAGCATCTATGTTTTGAAACATTAGCTTGGACCTGCTAAATAACTGTGACGGGAAATGAAGCTCAGTCGTTTTCATAATTCACATTATTTAAAAAAGAAATCTCTCCTGACCCTTGACCTTTCAGTGCTCGCCTCCCGAGGTGACCTGCACTGGCCTGTGTGTGAGCTGAGCCGGAGAAGAAGAGGGGTTGAACATGGCAGCCAAAGCAGGAGACAACCCCGAGAGCCTCATGACTCTGGCAACCGTGTTCTGCCTGAGGAACCTCAGGAAGACCATGTGCTACCAGGGCTTCAGGAACAAGCTGTGCCTGCGCTCAGACATCTTCCTGCCCAGCGAGATCTGCGACAAGCTGGTCAACTCGTACGCAACAGTCGGTTATGTGTTTATCTCAACGTCACTCCGTTATGATGCCTCGTGTTTGTGACTGTGTTGTTTTTGTGTTGAACAGATACATGGAGCTGGTTCACACAGACAGTAACTTTGAACCAGAGGAGAGCTTCTTCCAGCTCTTCTCCGACCCTCGAAGCACCAGACTGACCAGGGTACAGCTGAGAGAAGACTTTGTACGAGACAGAGATCTGGAGGCCATTAGAAAACAGGTGGGAGATCAGTCACACTAATGTTCATTCTTCCACCGAGTTTCCGTCCAGTTTGTGCAACAAACAATCCGACAAAACAACAGACATAAAAAACAGAACGACCTCGGCGGAGGTGAAGTAAAAGTTCTGTTGAAGTCAGCAGCACGTTGGGCTGAGAGACTCTGACCTCAGAGTTCCATTGAGGGAGAATTTCACTTGTGTCCTCATCAGGAAACTTCTGTGAGAGTTGGGATGGAAAAAAGAATTGATTTTATATTCATCCAGATTTTTACTTCAAACAGGAACATCTGTGCGTCACCACACACACTCACAGACGTTGGAGCATTGGAACACATCGTTAATCAAAAATGATTTTCTTTGTGATTTTTGTCAGGACCTGATTGAGCTCCACCTCACCTACTGCAACAGTCTGTCGTCCCGCAGCCTGAAGACACTGACCTGCTTCCGCGAGACTTTGGTGTCTCTCTGTCTTTTTGGCTGCAGCCACATCTTCTACAGGAAGGGCGGCGCCCCACTCGCCTGCAACGAGGACTCTGAGGACGAGGAGGAGGAGAGCCCAGCCTCTAGGCAGGCGTTAGAGATGGACTTTAACTTCCAGGGGTTCAACCGCCTCCGATTGCTCAACCTGGGCGGTCTACCTGACGAAGTGAATGCTGAGACGCTGCTCAAACCCCTGAAGTCTCTCACCTCACTAGATCTGTCTAACGTACAGTTGCTGGGAACGGCATTTCTCACCCAGTGGAAAGACAGATTGGCCTCGCTTGTCCTCTACAACGTGGATCTGTCGGAGGAGTTGGTCAGCACCGTGGTGGAGCTCGTTAATCTCAGGTCAGATATGTTTAGTCAGGTTTAGTTTCTTTGTAACTTCGTTCATTCACGTTACGCCAAACACATTTATTGACTGAAGGAGGTGATGAGTGGCATCTTTCAGGATTTTAAAACTGTGTTGCATGTTGAACCATGAGAGTCATTGAAAGTTATTAAGGTGACAAGCGTCGTCTTCGGAGTTACAGGGATGAAGGTCGGACATTTTTAAACATATATCAACCATCAAAAAGTCCGGCTCCAATCCTGAGACAATGGTTCCTTCCATCGCTGAGACAAAACCAGTTTTTATTACTTGAAAAAAATGATTTTGAATCTATGTTAATGTTCAAATAAATTGTTTTGAATGACCACAAATCAAGAGAACAACGTGATGGAAACACTGTGTTTCACAGGCATTTCGACATCTCGCGGGAGAGCCGGCGGACCTCCAAGTCTAAGATGACACGGAAGATTTTGACGGCGTTCATCCAGCGTCTGGTCAATCTGGTGTCTCTGGACATCTCAGGTCACATTATGCAGGACAACTGCACAGTTCCACACTTTGAAGAAGCCATGGGGCGACCGAGGTGGGTCACCAGCTGCAGAGCAGACTTTAAAGAAAAGTCTGGTTCAGATGAACGTGTTAATAAACAACATCGCTCTCTCTTACAGCATCGAACCGTGCAAGAGCAGCATCTATCCTTTCCAGGAGCTGAAGAGGCCGCTGCAGTTTCTGGGCCTTTATGACACTACCCTCTGTAACGTCACACACATCCCTGCTTATAAGGTACCGACAGTGTGAAGAGGCAGAAAGTCTTCAGGCATAAAAAAGTTCTTTTTAGGCATCACAACTAAAACAAGTCTCATGCTGGACTTCTGGACTGGACAGCCTGGGGACGATTCCGTGATTTTCTGTCACAGGTCTTGTGTCCTATGAAGAGGTTTGTGGGTTCAATGTGTTTGTTTGTTTCTCAGGTGACTGGGTCAAAGAACGAGGACCAGGTCCTGAATGCGATCGAGGCTTACACGGAGTTTCGTCCTGAACTCGCCCACAGAGCCATCAATCAGCTGTTTGACATCGCCAGGATACAACACTGTAGTCAGCTGCTCCGCGCGTTGCAAGTATGATGAGTATACGTCGGGTTGTTCTTTAAAGGAGCTTGAAACACTTTCTCACTCCTCTCTTCCGTCTTTGTTTCAGCTCGTCATCGCAGCGTTGAAATGTCATAAATATGATAAGAGCATCCAGGTGACGGGCAGCGCCGCTCTGTTCTACCTGACCAACACAGAGTACCGCAGCGACCAGAGTGTGCGGTTACGCCGAGAGGTCATTCAAGTGGTACTAAATGGAATGGAACAGTATCAGGAGGTCACTGTGAGTGTCCTCTTGCGTCATCATGATCTCTGATGAAACAAAAAACTATTTGAAAAAAATATGTTTTTGTACATTTTTATTATCCAAATTATTAGCTGTACTGCGGCCAGCCACTAGGGGGCGCCCATATGTCGTCCATCTCTATTTACAGTCTGTAACTAAAGTAACTTCGCAAATGACAGTTGTTCATCCACTTCCTGTACAGTGGAGACCATGCGTCTCCACAGGTGGGGACTTTGAATGATTGTGATAAACTGAAGGATGGAGTGGTCCTTCCTGGGCTTTCAGTTTGAATCCCTCTCTCGGTCTCCTCACCTGCTGATGCTCCTCACCAGGTCCAGAGGAACTGCTGCTTGACTCTGTGCAACTTCAGCATTCCGGAGGAGCTGGAGTTCCAGTACAGTCGGGTCAACCAGCTGCTGCTGAAAATCCTGGAGCCGGCCCGGCAGGACGAGTCCATCCAGAGAATCGCTGTTCACCTCTGCAATGCTCTGGTCTGTCAGGTGGACAACCATCACAAGGAGGCTGTGGGGAAGATGGGCTTTGTTAAGGTAACACTCGTTATATATTATATAGAGTAAATGTCCCCCAGAGTTCATGTCTGAAACCGTCTTTAAACAGTTTGTTGTTAACCAGACTCAACTCTCAGCTGCTGATTGTGGGTTTTTCTCATTTCAGACCATGTTAAATTTAATTCAGAAGAAGCTACAAGACAGAATGGTGAGTCTGAGTTTCTGTGTATCGTGATGTGTAAATGCAGACGAACCCCCACTTCACTTTTATACGTTGCTGTTTCTGCTCAGTGTGACCAGGTGATGGAGTTTTCCTGGAGCGCTCTGTGGAACATCACAGACGAGACACCTGACAACTGTCAAATGTTCCTCAACTGTCGGGGGATGAGTCTGTTTCTGGAGTGTCTTCAGGTGAGTCCACAGTCTCAGCTGAAGACACTGTCTCTCAGTTCAACATTAACATTGTACGCCGGGTGATAAAATGAGTTCCCTCTTGTTTTATGATCTTAATCCAGGAGTTTCCAGACAAGCAGGAGCTTCACCGCAACATGCTGGGGCTCTTGGGAAATGTTGCTGAGGTCAAAGCTTTGAGGCCTCAGCTCCTCACCCCACAGTTCATCACCGTTTTCAGGTGAGAGAAGAGTCGAACCAGTGCAGAGTAAAAGAAATCTTGAATGATTCTGTCTTTGAAACGCGTGTTGACACGTGTTGTAATTATTTTAGACGTCATTATTTCATGCAGACGAATCCTAACCTCCATGATACTCCCCCCCCCCTCACTGTTTGTTGCGTTGACAGTAACCTTCTGGACAGTAAGGCCGACGGGATCGAGGTGTCGTATAACGCCTGCGGCGTGCTCTCACACATCATGTTTGATGGGCAGGAGGTTTGGTCGATGGAAGACCCACTGAGAGACACGGTGATGGACAAGATGTGGGACGCCATCCAGAGCTGGGACGTCAGCTCACGCCGCAACATCAACTACAGGTTCTGTTCAGCACAGGAGATCAGTACAATTCAGCTTCTGAGAAACAACCAATGATTTTCAAGAACTGGAATAAAATGTCAAACTGTGGCAGAAAGATTCCGTCTGACCACAAACGCAGCAGCAGTGATACTTTGTGTGATAATGAGATGAAACAATAAAATGCAGCACATTAGAGTTCTGTGTGACACAGCGAAATAAATCTCAATAACTTAACAAGAGAAGAGTTTTTGAACTGACCTTCTTGTCTCAGGTCGTTCGAGCCGATCCTGCGGCTGCTGCCTCAGGGCATCGCTCCGGTCAGTCAGCACTGGGCCACGTGGGCTCTCTACAACCTGGTGTCAGTTTACCGTGAGTATCTGCTGCTCTGTGAAGTGTCAAACCAGACGCCATGTTGGTTTGACATCATCACAGGTGGAGACGGCTCTCATTAGTTAACAATTCAATGAATCATTCTCCACATTTACAGTTTCTCCTTTATTAATGCCTGGTTGTAAATCTCACTGTCTTTCTCTTTCCATTCACGTTTGACCTGCAGCGAGCAAGTATTGTCCTCTGCTGATTAAAGAAGGAGGGATCAGTCTTCTGGAGAACGTTCTGGAACTGGACAGCTCACATCCAGAGACCAAGGACATGGCCAGGTAAGAGTGACAGAGCTTTAGTCACCTCCACCTCTCCGCTACGTACGTCTCATCCTCATCTCTGTGGCTCAGAGAAACATTCTGTCGTGATGAATGAAACGAATTCTGCAGCTACACCCACTCTACTGTGACTCCTCCCACACCACTCTGAATCAATTATAATCTCTGTCTACACACGTCACATGACCATTCACGCACACTGGTCAGCTGAAGACGTCCGGATGGTCCCTGACCTCTAAGTAACCTGTGGCGTGTTTTCATTTTCTAGGAAAGTGATGGAGCAGTGTGAGAACTTCAAAGAGGACCCCATGGAAACAAACCAGGGACAGGAGGTAAACTACGGACAAAGAGGTTGACGCACAGGAGCAAACATCGATAAAAGCAACCTAAGGCCCCGCCTACCGCCATCATCACGAGGGTCGATCGTGTGCATTATTCTTACTCTTATCATTCTTCTTACTTTCTAGAGCAGAACTGTCTCTGACCTGTCGCAGCAGCTTGGACAGAACCTTAATATTTGACACGTAGGACTTCAGACGTTGGTGCATGGTGTTTTGTTGTGAGGGTGTTTACCTGCTGCACATGAGCATCTCTATTACGACGGGTCTGTGGGGGTGGGTGACTCTGTTTTCTGTGTGTGTGTGTGTGTGTTTGTGTGCGTGTGTGTGTGTGTGTGTGCGTGCGTGTCACAGACTTAACGACGGAACAGCTGGAGTGATGCTTGTTTCTCAGTGGAAGGAAACAAACTCCCTCCTCAGCTCACTCGGCCTCGTCGTGTCCTGCGCCGCCGTTACACCTCCTAGTTCTCACGCTTGTCCGCTGAGTTGCGGACACATGTACAGTGAATATTAGCCATTATGTGTGTAGACCGCAGAGAAGCGTCACACGGATGTGACGGGAGACTTTCCCGACCTCGTGGCACAACGATGGACTTCTTTGTTAAATATGTAAATATTCTGTTGTCTCATCCTTTTACTGTGCGTATGTTTTATAATATAACTGTAAACACTCATGACTTTTCTCTATATTTAAATCTCTAGGTTTGACTGATGTGTGGTCAGTGATCAGAAACTATTAACAGAAAACTCAGTCATTCAGATGATGTGTAGAAAAACCTGGACCCTCTTTGTTCTTCATCATTTAGATTCAAGCAACATCCACAAGACTACGTTTTTATTTTGAAACTCGTCACCGTTACGCTCCACGACACGACAGAGTTCTCAGCCTCTGAATCAGAGACTCGTGTGAGCTGATCTCATTTTATTTTGAAAACTCTGGTTTTGTGTTTTAGTCTGAACACAAACTGAGACTTTAGTAAAGGATGACGCCCACGTTCTCTTCTGATTGGTTCTCATCAGTCACATGACTCGACTACCAGCGGTGAACACAAAGCGTCGCTAACACTTCCTGTCAGGAACAGCTCCACCCCGTCGTCGCTCGGAGAAAAGAAATCTCTGCTCTGACTTCTCAGAGGAGGAGACCATCTACTTCCTGTTTACATCACATGTCCAGTGTACGTGAACGGTCATGTGACGTGTGTTCAGGGATGTGAGTGTGAGGTATTAATGATACGGAGCGAAACGTGGAGCTCGTGGGAGCAGTTTAAGATTTGAAATGAAAACGTTGTGGTGTGGATGTAGAGTTTGAATTATCTGGCATGGTAACCTGACTCCGTTCAGTCCTCTCACTGGAGACACAGAAAATACTCTATATGGCCAAAAGTATGAGGACACTAACACAGCACGGGGACACCATCAACACCAGCTCTGTAAACAAATGGTTTGATTTGAAAGAACAATACTGACCTGCCCAGACTCCAGCGTGATGTTACTGACACCCAACTCCTTCTGGGTGATGGTTCATCTTCTGATGGAAACCTGAAACCAGACGAGTGGGAGCTGTTAGAGCAGCGCTATCATCAGCCTTCATGTTCCAACCCATTTACTGTCACAGTCATGTACTGTTGAACTCTGGGTCGCTGCAGCAGAGCCATCATTTTATTTTTATTTCATTCAACAGTCTTCTTTCCTGTCATCACCTGTAACTACATTACCCACAATTCAACTTAGCCACAGGCAGTTAATTCAGGGCTTTAGGTGTGTTATGCTCGAAGCAGCGGCTGATGTATCGTGTTCTTTCAAGCTTTGTTTGGTGTCCACATACTTAAGGCAATGTAGTGTCTGAGGTCGTTTAACCATACAGACGACATCTTGAATCTTAGCGCCAATTATCCCGCCCCTCCGAACTCAACAGTGCCTCCGGTGGTCAAGTTCTGTGCCAGATGATGACAGAGACGAGGTTGAGGGAAACGATCCTTTAACGACGTCTGATGACCTCGTGTTTCCAGGTTAACATGCTGCTACTTTACTGCTTCACTTCGATCAAACACTTTTCTCTTGAAAGCTGGTGAAAACAAAGTGGTGCGTTCACATCTATGTTTAAATATTTGAAACTGGAAAGATGTGTTGGAGAAGTCTAGAAAGAAAACGTCATCAAGAATCTGAACTGAACGCCATCGCAGCTCTCACCTTTAACTTGTTGTCACTTGACTCCATGTTTTTCATGAACCAAAATCAAAGTCTGAGTTTATTTACTCCGACCTTACAGGCGCCTGTAGCTTCGACTCTCAGCGGAACGTTAAAGTAGACGTGTTGTTTTTGTGTTTCTTTCCTCTAGTGTTTAGTGTTAAGATTTTTTTGTGAATGTAAAACTTCTGCAAATTTTAAAAGCCCAAAGTCTGTGGTAAAGCGAGCTCCTCCCCTGCACAGGAAGCACCTCATTAGTACCCACCTATACTTCCTCATCATTGTGATGTCACAATGCCCCACATTGGCGTAACTCCCACCAAGCGTCTCGCCTGTGGCAGAGGGAGCTCCTGCACCTGAAGCTCCTCGTCAGTCGTCTGGACGAGAGTTAGGCCAAAACTAAAAATTCAAAAACTGACAGTTCTCCTAACAAAGCCAGCTAAAGGTAAAAGAGAGGAGCAGCTGACCAATCAGAGCAGACTTCATCAGGAGGGGGGGGGGGGGTCTTAAAGAGACAGGGGCTAAAACCAAGTGTTTGAGACAGAGGCTGAACAGAGGAGCTGCAGCGATGGACAGTCTGAGGACAGAGATTCTGAACATTAGAGCGTGAAGACATTTGACATTAATAACACTAATTCAAATTAACCTGAAGATGAACGGAATATTTCTCCTTGAATTAAATAGGAATGTAATGGGGCAGGTTCTGCTTTCATTTATCTTTTGAGATGGTTTAAAGGATAAAGGAAAGTTGAGTCTGTGTATTGTTCTGAATTATTCTTGTGTTGGCTTGGGCAACAATTGACTATTGTAATTATTCATCCATTTTTTATTTTACAAATAATTGTAAGCTGTGAACAGTTTATAAGTTTAAGGACGGAGCTGTTTCTTTACTTTAATGTTTAAGTTTGATTCTGGTGTTTGTAGCCGTTCTTCTTTGAGTTCAGTTCGACTCCGCTCACCCATGATGGCGAGACGGAGCAGGAAGTGAAGGAACATACGTGCAATGACGGTTGTTTTCTCCTGCAGCTGGTTTAGTTGAAACAGGTCTGACATAATAAACAATGGCTTCTAATAACATCACACTGGCTCCACAGTGTCGCTCAGTGACTCTAAGTAAAGATGGACGACGTATTGCCACTTCCTCCCCACTGTACAAAAATTAGAGCCAAATATCTCAGATAAGAACGCAACCGTCTTGTGCTGGTGACGTCATTCGGAGTAAGGGACCAATCCTGAGTCAGTGTCAGCTGTCAATCATGACGTCTCCGCCTGTTTTTATATCATCAAATAACTGATTCAACCAAACTGATGAGAAACACTTGAACAAACCAGTGAGATGAGAACGAGCTGAAACGACAGAAACATCTTTTCAAACATTTATTTAACGTCTACTTTGAGTTTTAAGTTAGTCCCATCTGCTAACATGGAGGAGGTTTATGGCCTATTCTGCAGCCAGACACCAGGGGGAGATAGTGATGTTCTGGCTTCACTTTTAGAGCCCTTCACGTCGTCCATCTTTATTTCCACTCAGCTCCAGCCTATTTACAGTTTGTTGATGCTGAACTTTTTTATTTTACTTTTCATATCGCTCACATTTGGTTTTATTAGCTGAGCCGATTTCCTTGTCACGTACAGTTCCAGTTTATTGGAATCTGATCGGTACAGTCGTGTTTTTATTTCTATTTTTACTAACGTTCACGTCGACATAAGCTTCATCAGAGACTCGCTAAATGTTTCTGTCTGGAATTCAATTGAGGTCAAAACTAAATCTGAGTTTGTTAGAGACAGTGTTTGATTAAAGGTGCTTGAGGTAGAAAGTAGATTTATCTTGAGCCTCCATCACTCATCTGACTTCTTAGCTTCCCATGAAGAAACACATTGTGATGGCAGGTAGCTACTGTGGGTTGTTGACTGTTCCTGATTATTTATAAAGATGTATGTACTGAAATTTAAAAAAAAGAAATGTTTGGAGAAATGATGAGAAACTGCTGTGTCGCAAACTGATTTCACGTTTCTGAAGTGTGTTGACACTCTGTCATTGGTTTCTTTTGTAATTGTAATCCAAATCTGGGTGAGGAACATTTGATCCGAACTGTGTGGAGTTTTTCCTGATCTGAATATTACCAGGCCGTCAGTGTAAAGGAAAGAGTAAGCAATAAAGATGGAGTGGGAATGTGTCGGTGTGCTCTGGGGTTTTTTCTCTTGTTGCTGCAGGTTCTTAAACTCAGCAGCTGAGTGATGATGAAAACATCTCCACAAGGTTGATCCACGTTTCACTCAAACCTGTTGTTGGCTTCACTAACCACAGACTGTAAATAAAGATGGCTGACACCAGTGACACAAAAGTGAAGCCTAACTGTGTTTATCGCCCCCTGGTGGCTGCCTGTAGTACTGACCAAAAGCTTCTGGAATTTTTATTCCCAGAAACTTTTGTTTTAGCACGAAATGGTTCCAGCAGACGGCAGTTTGTCACCTCAAGACCAGGATCAGAAAAATAAACAACACACAGCCCGTCAAGCTGTTCTTCTTCAGTCCACCAGATGGCGCTCACGCAGAAAATGACTTGATGATGCTATTCAACATAGTCTGTATATAACAATGCACGATGATAGGACAGCTCCCCAAGAGTGAAGCCAAATCATCCGGGTTGCCCCCTGGTGGCTGTTTAACTAACTTCACGCTGCGGGAACACGCTGCGGGGTGGGGGGTGGGGTGAGTCGTGACTCGGTGCGGGCTCTTTAAAGCCAGGGCGAAGGGGAAATTTCCGAGTGTCCGTGAAGAGGCAGTATTTACGGCTGCACCATCGCAGCTGATCGGAGGATTTTCCTCAGCGGGGAAACACTGATCCTGAGCCCGAGCACCGAGCCTCCATCATGGACTTCAACGTGAAGAAACTGGCCTCGGACGCTGGAGTCTTCTTCACCCGGGCCGTGCAGGTAAGAGCCCGGTCCCCGCAGCGAGCAGACCCGGGAGAGGAGCAGTGATGGCCGCATAGACTAGGCGAGTCTGCTCCTGTGTCCGGCTGCAAGACACGGAGCTGAGGCCGCTAATCCACAGACACACACACACA